AGATTTATTTATAAATTGACAGCAGCCGTGTATATAAAACTATATAAACGTCACAATTATCCAATGAAAAGTGACGTTACAAATGTGCAGTATTATAAAGTTTTATATACATGTCTTCAGTTGATTCATTACAAAATCTTACTTTTTTCTCTAAAAAACGATGCTTGCTGTATAATAAATTCGTTATAAAGATTGTCGCCTAGCGGCTCGGTTATATTTACAAATAGCCGTTTATAAAGGGCCATATAACATGTCAACAATCTTTATAACTAATTATATATGTGTAACGTCAAAAGTCGCATGGAAACGTTTTCTACGTCAATGAGAAGACAGCATTATCTGGAAGTTGCACTATTGTTTGAGTTATGTACCATTGCTGCCAACTTATTTCACAATTGTTATTAATGTAACCGTATATCTTAAAAATGTATCAGTAAAATCAGTACTGCAGTATATATATATATATAGCTTACAGTCTTCAGCGTTTCTGTTTCCATTATGTGGCAGGACAGGTAGTGCCGCAACAGATGGAAGTAAAGTGTGAAAAAGCGGCATATATAAATTTGGAAGCCAAAACTACTGTAGATACATGAACAAACAATAACTTATGCAGTAATATCGTACGTTTTGTTCTTTGTTGGAAAGAAAGTTCGCATGTGCGATCTTGTTAATCAGAATGAGGCATGGTGTATTTATGGATTACTGAAAACATTCTAAAAGGCCATATAGAATGGTGTCGTAGTAGAGAATTAGGAACAATTTTATCCATTAAAAATATGATTAAAGAATAGATGTTTTTAAAAGCATTGAAATCTGATCAACCTTCTATTTTTAAGTTAATATATACATATACTTTCTAGAAATGTTCTTTATGAATCCATTAAACATATAGCTTACATGTTTTCCATGTCGCATTGCCTAGCGGACCCGAGAAAATTTCATACAAGTTTTCATTTTGTAAATACAGACTGTTATAGGAAAATACATAAAAATAATCTGGAAAAGGGTAGATCGCTCGGAATCAATGCAAACAATAAAATTACATAAAATGGTTTGATTGAGTCTGTCCATGAGGGATACTGGAAAAGTGCATAATCCCTCAGCTCCTAGAATCGGCTTAAGTAGCGGTATTCAATCTTCAACGCTTAATCTGCTGGAATCAATTATCCCAAAGGATAAAATAATATAACAGCACTGAAGTAAATAACGAGCTACTATACGGTACTTGATACCTGCTGGAAATGAAAAAAAATCCCTCGGAAGCAATGAAAACTACAAATGACCAGAAAACTTTTGTTGATTGAGTATGTACATTTTTCTATGAATTTAGTCTGCAAGTCGTAGCACCTTGTTTTCTCTATAAAAGGTAAATAATCATGTCTTTGTGATTGCAAGTTACTTTGCCGCGGGGTCACTTTGTCTATTATAACTTCTTTACCTCAGATTCCCTTTCAGAATTCCATTTTATTCAGTTTCGCCCATTGTTTTTTGCTTAAGGCACACAATCGTTTGCTTGGGGACCATACGCCGTTTTTCATGAAATGCCACTATCGTGACACATTGAAGGTTCCATAATATGAACGCATCTTTTTGATACTTTAGGAAAATCATATGATAATTTGGTTTGATAAATAAATGAAATCCTTACGTTTTCCTAATTTGCATTTTCAATTTATTTTTTTTTCTAATTGAAATTATGAGAATACCTAGGACGTTTGTAAAAAGCAGGCAACATGTCCGAAGGGTGATTTCACATTATTCCAGTAAGAATATTAGAACCACCCAAATCGAAAAGGCCAAAGAGTTGAAACTAAAAATACCAAAACACAACAATAATGTCTTGTTGAATGATCTGTAAGGATCGAAAATATAATATCTCTGATTGAATGTACGGGGCGACATTTTACGCCGATGAGGCGATAAAATAAAGAAAAAGAATTCCTTAAGAAAGTCCAAGATGGCAAAAATTGAAAATGTTGCAGACTCGGTTCGTATTGTAAAAATCTATAATCATTATTTTTCACACACACACAAAAATCATTTATTAACCTCTTGTACATGTTATATTTTTATCTTTTTACATATACTTCTTTTATACTAGTCATCTGGCGAGCTCAAGCTCTTAACAACTTATGATCAAACAAAAGTGAAGAACACAAAATTAGCATTTTTACAACTTTCAGATACAGTATAAACCAAAATCATTCAGCCAACAAGAATAACTTCACAAACTCTAATCGGCATCTGAAGAGAGTAAAACGGAATCCCGAAAGAACGCCGAAAACGGCAAAACTGAAAATGTTGCAGGGCCGGTTTGATTAAGCCTGTTCATGGACGGTGCTGGGAAATACAAATTACCATTCGCGCCCCCTAGCTTCAGCTTAAGCAGAATTCAACAATTAAACATTAAAATCGTAAAATTTGAATTAAGAAGGAACTGAAAATTGTAAAGAAACGTTTATGCTATTCTATGACAAGCGGCGTATGGTCCCAAATTAAAAATAAATATACGTGTGCCCTAAACGAGAAAACAATGGGTGGAACTAAATAAAATGGAATTTTGAAAGGGGATCTGAGATTATGAAGGTTAACAATTTAAACTTAAACACCCAATATTTACAGATATCTCCAAACACAAAAACTCAACTATGATAATGTCGACAAGACAAAATCTTTCAATATAACTCAAACAGTTTTTGTAAAGAACTTATCTTCATTTAGTATCGCCTTCGCATCCCCAACTATCCATAGCTTATGTATCAAACTTTGTTACATAGTTGAGTCCCTGAAGTCAATACAAAAGCGGTTTCCATTATGTACAGATTTAATGAAATAGAGAGAAATAAGAACCCCTAAAGAAAGTCCAACACGGCAAAATTGAAAATGTTGCAGACTCGGTTTTATTGAGCCTGTTCATGGACGGTACTGTCAAGTGCTCCGTTAGTCTCTTCACCCCGTGTATCTACTACTTCTAACAGATTGTCATCATCAACCACCCAGGATCATTATTATTTTCGGCTTCTTGTGTCCTCTCTGAGTTTTTTGAGTGTGTCGGGGGCCGCGTCCTGTGAACGTTGCCTTTGCCTTGTTGATCTTTATTCTTGTTTTCTATGACAAATACACTCGCACAAACTGCTTCACTTACAACAAACGGATCTTTTTATTGTTACATTAATTTATTGTGTGTTGAAGGCAGGAACAATAAAATAGAGAAAATAAGAATCCCTTAAGAAAGCCCAACACAAAATTGAATATGTTGGTTATCATGGAACCTTCAATGTGACACGTAAGTAGCATTCCATGAAAAACGGCATATGTCCCCCAAGTTAAAAAATGCTTTTGCAGGGGTGATTCAACAGTATACAAGTGAGGAATACTGGAACCGCCCAACAAGAAACATGAGGGCCATGATGGCCCTGAATCGCTCACCAGAAACAACTGTTTTTCAGTGACTATTGAAATATTTTTTCAAATAAACTTGTAGAAAGACAAGTCCAGGTCAACTTCAACTTGCCTCTCTAGATATAAGGTTTTCCGACACTGATGGTTGTTTTTCTTTATAGTAAAAATGATAGGAACCAAGTTTGGTGATCATCCATCCATTAATTTGTGATAAAATTTGCCTACGACTGTTTTTCAAAATTGCGATCTTTCTTCTTTTTTTAATTATCAAAAAAAAATAGATAATTATATAATCTCATTATTTAGATATACATGTATACTGTTTGTCAGTATTTATTTAAGATAACATAGATTTACGAGTCAACTTGACCAGAAAGTTAACATGTCAGGTTAATTATCTTACTCTCTAATAGGAATGGAAAAAAATGTATCTTTAACTACATAGAGGAAAAAGGCAAAATGTTGTTTTGATGAAATGTATTCAGTGAATATGAAAACAACTTTACATTGTATGAAACAGTGCAAAATTAATTTCAACAAGTCATAACCAAGTTTGCAAAATGTGATTCTGAATAGAAATAATTGAAAGTGATACTAAAATGGCACAAAGAATAAACAAGAGCCACCGCCAGGTGGGGGCAACGCTCGACTATTTTCTTTTTCTTAAAGCAAACACAGAAATGTTTGAACAAATCCTAACGTTTCCTTTTTATAAATTTAATCGGTCTGTCTTGTCACATTAGTTTTGTCTATATACTTTGAATGTCTAAATATATTTTATATATATATATATTTACGCATTTATATATATATATATATATATATATATTATATATTATATATATATATATATATATATATATAAATGCGTATGGTGGTGGTGGTCCGCATGGTAGCGGTGATGGTCCGCATGGTGGCGGTGGTCCGTATGCTGGTGATGGTCCGCATGGTGGTGGTGGTCCACATGTTAGTGGTGGTCCGCATGTTGGCGGGGTCCACATGTTGCCGGTGATCAAGCATGTTGGTGAAGGTCTGCATGGCGTGGTGGTCCGCATTTTGATGGTAGTCCGAATGGTGGTGGTCCGCACGTTGGTGGTGGACCGCATGTAGGTGGTCGACTGCATGTTACTGGTCGACCGCATGGTGGTAATGGTCCGCATTGTGGTGGTGGTCTGCATGTTGGTTGCTGTCCGCACGGTGGTGGTGGTCCACATGGTGGTGGTGGGCAAACACGTTAGTGGTATGCATGGTGGTAATGGTCAGCATGGTGGTGGTCTGCATAGTGGTGGTCCGCACGGTCGATCGCATGTTGGTGGTCGACTGCATGTTGGTGGTCGACCGCATGAAGGTAATGTCCGCATGGTGGTGGTGGTCCGTATGTTGGTTGCGGTCCGCACGGTGGTGGTGGTTCACACGGTGGTGGTGTTCCGCATATTAGTGGTTTGCATGGTGGTAATGGTCTGCATGGTGGTGGTTGTCTGTACAGTGATGGTCCGCATGGTGGAGGTGATCGGCATGGTGGTGTTGGTCCGCATGGTGGTGGTCAGCATGGTGGTGGTGGTCCGCATGGTGGTTGTGGTCCACATGTTGGTGGTCGTATGCACGGTGGTGATGGTCCACAGGGTAGTGGTGGTCCACATGTTAGTGGTCTGCATGGTGGTAATGGTCCACAGGGTGGTGGTGGTCTGCACAGTGGTGGTCTGCATGGTGGTAATGGTCTGCATGGTGGTGGTGGTCTGCACAGTGGTGGTCTACATGGTGGAGCTGATCTGCATGGTGGTGGTGGTCCCCATGGTGGTGGTCCCCATGGTGGTGGTCCGCATGGTGGTGGTGGTCCACATGGTGGTGGTCCCCATGGTTGTGGTGCTCTAAATATTTGGACTTTTGACCGTGAAGGTCAAGGTCATTTATAGATGAAGGTCAAGGTAAGTGTGGTCTACTGAAAGGGCTTATCTTAAGGGTTGTTGTGGCCAAGTATGAAGACAATACACCAAGAACTTAAAAAGTTATGATCCAGGCACAAATTTGCGGACGGCAACGGCTACTGTAACGGCAAAGGCAACCCCGCCACAACTTTAACAATACCTCTTTTTTTAAAGTCGAGCTAAAATTGACAAAATTACATCAAGACAAGCAAAAAATACTTCTAAAACTTAAACTTAATTTTGTTTCTTCATAAACATCAGGTTCAAAAGTTAGTTACCAGAAACAAATGAAACATTTTTTAGGCCTTGAGGAAAAGTCTCTAGATTGACCTTCAAATGAACCTTCAAATGAACCTTCTGAATTCTAGGGCCCAAACAGAAAGATACAAAGCACATTGACCTCAGATCTCTGTAAAGCAAACGGGTCATGACATAAAGATATTCAATCTTTTTTTTATGCATAACATGTACATACATGTGAACTTTTTTCAAGAGGGAGAATTAACTTCAAAAAGCGGGAGATTTTTTAATTGACAGGAAATTTTAAAATGAAAAAGAAGGGAGATTTCTTATTTTTTTTTAAAACAACCCTTTTTCTAAGAAAAATATCTAAAAATTTGACAGAAGAAAGAAGGTGTCTCCCGCTCAAATTGGGAGAGTTCACAGAGAGTATGGAAACATTGCGACATGAGTTATTTTCCCTTCATTATTAAACTATAATTTGAAGAAATGCCATGGCCCAGGGCATTTTTGCTTTAGTTGCTCCTAATATTTTTAGTTAAGGGCCAATCAAATAAATATGAGCACACTTGATAAAAGACTACCTCAGAATGCTACAGACAAAGATTGGTTATCATCCATCAATTAGTTCTGTAGAAGAAGATATCTAAAGGTTTTTCTATTTTTAGCTTTTGAGACCCCTAAAAGGGGCTAAGCAAATAAATATGAGCAAATTTGATAAAAGACTACCAAAGAATGCTACAGACAAAATTATGTGATCATCCATCAATTATTTCTGAAGAAGCAGACGTTAAAAGATATTTATATTTTTACCTATAGCAGCCCCTAAAATGGGCAAATCAAATTAATATGAGCAAGCATGATAAAAGACTACTTAAGAATGCTGCAGACAAAGTTTAGTGATCATCCACCAATAAGTTCTGCAGAAGCAGACGTTAAAATGTATTTCTATTTTTAGCTATAGCAGCCCCTAAAAAGGGCCAATCAAATAAATCTGCGCAACTTGATAAAAGACTATCCAAGAATGCTACAGACCAAGTTTGGTGATCATCCATTAATTAGTTCTGTAGAAGTAGATGTTTAAAGGGTTTTCTATTTTTAGCCCTTGACACCCCTAAAAGGGGCCAATCAAATTAATATGAGCAAACTTGTTACAAGACTACCCAAGAATACTACAGACAAAGTTTGGTGATCATCCATCAATTAGTTCTGTAGTAGAAGATGTTTAAAGGTTTTCTATTTTTAGCTCTGTTGACCCCTAAAAGGGGCCAATTAAAATGACATGAGCAAATGTAAGTGCGACTGCCACAAGGATGCTACAGACCAAATTTGAGGTTAATCTGCCCAGCAGTTCAGAGAAGAAGACGATTGTTGAAGCATGACGACGGACGACGGTAGCCGGAGTATCCCCCCTTTGATAGTAATAGCTCACCCTGAGCCTTCGGATCTGGTGAGGTAAAAAGCCGAATAGAAAGAACTAATTAGCCCAAAACAGAAATGTCGTGCTGAAGGATCGTTAAGAATCGGAAATATAACATCTCTGATTAAATGTACGGGGCGACTTTTAACAGCCTCCTCACGGCACAAACAACACTGATGTGGCGATAAAATAGTGCAAATAAGAATCCCTAAAAAAAATCTAAAAGCAAAGTGATCCCTTGGAAGATAACAGCAAAATAACATGAAAATTGCAGACTCAGTTTTATTGAGTCTATTCATGAGGGATAATGAATAAGTGCAACACCCTCACGCTCCCTAGTACAGGCTTCTATTAATTAAACTGCGATAAAGACTGTGATAAAGAAATAACTGTGATCTTTGTTTTCTGATTTATTTCATTTTGTTATTTTAGGTAGAAAAATACGTACATATGACAAGCCCAACACAGCAAAATTAAAAATGTTGCAGGCTCGGTTTAATGAGCCTGTAAATGTACAAGTTACTGACGGATGCAAACTACCGTCCACGCCTGCTAGCACCGCCTTAAGAAGAATTCAACATTTGACATGAAGTGGTACAGTTTGGAATTTTGAAACATCCGCAGATGTGTTCATATGGCTGTTAAAACGTCGTCTCCTTCCTTAATACTTACATGGACCGTGTTTTCTTATCATACTGATGTTTGTACTCTTCTTGTGATTTGTTGAGATTCTCTCTAGCAACCTCGCACGTTTGTTCTAACCTTTGTCTCAAATCTAGGACGTACTTATCTCATACACTATAGCTGTTTCTGGTACATTTGTGTCTGACTATCTGTCCATTATTCTTTATATCATTGCGTCTAACAGTCCTGTAACATAATAACTCAAATTGTGAGAACCCTGTCCTTAACTGAGGGACTTATCTGTATGCAAAAAGAACCGCAGACTAATATCTGTCCCAATCTTAAGGTCTTTCTTGACAAATTTTCTTTAAATACCATTCATTTTCTTACAAAAAGCATTGCATTTTGGATTGTGAGGGGAGTGAAAAACTGTTTCCGGAATACAATAGAGAGAAATAAAGAATACCTAAAGAAAGTTCAAAACGACACAATTGTAAATGTTGCAGGCTCGGTTTGATGGAACCTGTTCATGGACGGTAATGGAATGTGCAAGTTACCGTCCCCGCCCCCTAGCACCAGCTTAAGCAAATTTCAACATTTAACTTGAACTTGTATTAAAAAACCGCAAGTCTCCAAACTTCTTCCATAAGTTGTGATGTGAACTGACTACCTGTATCACTAAGTAACCTACTCTTGCAAAAGTATCTTATGAGTGTCAATATGCATACATTGTTCGTAGTTATTCCCTATAGCAATTTCATTGGTAATTTTTAAGATAAATATGTAAACCCAGAAAGAAGGGGAGCATTATAAATGTCGTTCTGATTTTTATTTAAACACATAAACTGTCTGAGCGGTTTGAATCAACAATTCAATACCAGTTTGGAGTTTGGACCTCATCAAGACCGCATAGACCGATATTATTTCGAATTTCACGAGACAATATAACGGAGACCAATTCCGCTGCTGTTTTTTATTCCGCACCTTACAGTAGTAGAATAAATTAAAATAAAAGCTTGTATCATATATCTCTTGTAAATTATTATTTTAAAAAAACACCTTTAATATCAGGCTTGAATGTACAGACATGTTTACATCCTTACTAAATAAATTTATCTTGAAAACATAATAAGGACGAAAAGTATCAAAACATTTGTTTATAATTGTTGCCTTTGTTTACCCCTTTTCATCTGAGAAAAAGCAGTAAGTATTTTTTGGCAGTTGATCTATTCTTTGGGTAAAGTGACAAAATCACGAATAATTTTGATTTAATGATCATGAATGTATTTATGTAATTACAGAAATGATGATCTGATAATAAAAAGAAAATGGCAACCGCAAGTCAAGCAACGTTTTCAAGGACGCAGCAGAACAGTTGTCGTCTTTTTCGTCTGCAAATGCTGATTATAGACGGCGGACTACTACTACTTAGGAATATTTTCAATCAAAAGCTGCAAAATGTCCCTCTTGTCGCATTTTTGAAGAGTGAAAGACAAACAATTACAAACTTAAGATCACGTGGAATAATTACGCAGGTACAATATGATCTACTGTTTCCATCAGGTGGCACCGGTCCAACATCAACGGACCTAGACATCACATTAATCATATGTCTCCTTAGGAACATCAAATCATTCGGGCTGAACAAAAACTTTCAATGGAACTCAATTCCTGCACAAGGTGATACCTCAGTTGAGGCTGATATTTGCCGTCTGAAAATATACAGGAACGAGGTAAATGAGAAATGAGATAATTAGTTATGTTTTAATGGTTTGTGATATCTAGTTTAGAACAAAAATAATCTATATGACGTCAAGTTTAAATTATTAGGTATAAAAGTATTTTTTGCTGAAAAAGCTTTTCGAGTATAGAACCATAGATCCTGAGAAAGATGATAATGTTATTTTTATTCAGTATAACTTAATGATTCTACTAACTTAGTATTAGGTTAAGTTTCATGATGTCTAAAAGTAAGACACGTCTTTATTAAATACATTACATTAAACTTCGAAACATATCCATGCTATCAAAGACTGCTTTCATAATTTTAGATTTAGCCAATTGTCCTGCATGCAACTATCATATCTTATTTATTTTTTGTCTTCCCTTGCAACTTTTCATTTGATACAAATAGTCATATCTATCATTCTCTTACTTTTTTAGCTCAGTCACATATCTTCAACAAGTGGAATAACTCTGCCTATCTTTACAACAAAGTGGACGGAGATCGAACAGGTAAGGATGGAATTTTATTTTACTAATAAATTAATCTATTTTTTTCCTTTCAATTCTGTTTATAGTAGGTTATGTTTATGCAATATTCCTTGAGGCACATTATGCCTTAGAAATTCATTTTTTAGAAATGTCAAACGTATGTTTAAGAATATTTGAATAATGAATTAAGAACAAATTAAATGTTAACTTAAATATATACCATACTCATCTTTGGGTAAAATACTTTTACTTCAGAAATTCTTTAAAATCTGTCAAAGTCTGTCTGAATATGTATAATTTAAATAAGGAAATGTTTAAATTATGTTTGTAGAGCTGTATTTCCTGTAACTAGTCATTACTAGTGGTTACATGTAGCGTCAAGAGTTTTAAACATGACCTATTTCCTCTGTGTATATCAAAAGATGTTTATTCTACATTTCAAAAGAGACTGTATAATTATTATCAGTGTTATGGCATGAATTAACATAAAGGAACATAACAAGAATGAAACCACCACGCATGGCGGAGCTCAAAGCAAGTAAGCACATTTATAAAATAAAAAACATACCATAGAATATAATATCTAACGGTATATGCATTAGCAAGGGTGACAAGAAACATGATAGCTGTACAATACGTTCATAAACCAGTGTCTATTCTAGGTGGGGGGCGGGGGGATTCACTCATATTTTTGTGAATTCCCCCCTATTTTTCAGAGGCAGTGGGAAGTTTTTACATAGAGAAAGAGGAAAAAAATCAAGAAATGTAATACATTCGTTAAAAATCCTCCCCCCTGTTTCTCGAATCCTAGAATAGACATTGTAAATAGTGTATTGTGTGGTTGGGTTTAAAGAAGTATGTTTTAATGTGAGTTTTAACATGGAATCGTGACGCAATTCATGGTTTTATAGGTTCTTTTGAGGTTGAACACGGCGGCGTCACCCATACCAGACCTACAGAAGATGATTGATGACTTAAAAGTGAATCCACTTGATCCACAGGCGGAGAGAAGAGTTCAGAAGGCCATAATCAGTTGGCAAATGTTAGAAAAGGGGGTAGAAGCTGATTTAATACAGTTAAAAATGGAGGACGAGAAGATAAAATCTACTCTGAATGTGCAAGGTCAAATTGTGAGAAAGGCGGAGAGAAGGGTACAGAAGGCAATAGACAGTTGGCAAATGTTAGAAAAGGGGGTAGAAGCTGATTTAAAACTGATGAAAATGGAGGACGAAAAGATAAAATATACTCTGAATGTGCAAGGTCAAACTGTGAGAAAGCATGCACAGAGTATTGATGAATTAAACAAGAAGACGTCTGAACATGATAAACAAATACATGACCATACTAAACAAATACAGGAATTAAAGGAAGACACTAGAAGAGGTACGTCGCAGACGACTTTTGTTTACACTCACGGTATTTAAAAACAATGTATAATTATTATTTAGTCATACTAATTTTCTTATCTTAATCACTATAATTTAATATTCTCATTATTTATCATTATAATGCAATCATTCGACTTAATATTCATTTTTATCTTTATTAATCTTTTGATTTTGCTTATTCTTTGAAACGAAATTTGGTTTTTGTAATAAGTATTATGATTATTTTAATCTCACATCTTCGCTATTTTCAATTTAATTTTGTTTTGTTTTAAAGTAACCAAACCTGTCATGTCGTATATAAATAAATTTAAATACAGATAACGTAAATGCTTCTTTTTTAAGTTTAACTACTTATTTGTGTTATTTATATTCACTCTTTAACACTGTCATAATGCAGATGTCACAGCAGAGACAGAATCAATGCGACAGTCTCAATATGAAGAGTCGAAAAAAAGTAAGTGAATGCTATGTATGTTATAATAACATATTTAAAAGATGTGTGGTATGATCTATTATCAGTAAAATTCAAAACAATGTTTGTTTAGAACACTTGTTCATGCTGTGTATAAGTATATGATTTATGAATGTATTAAGTAGAGCTAAATGTAGAAGAACAAATACTTGAAAAGGTTCTTGTAATACCTACATATTTTGTCTGTATTGCAATTCATGAGTTTGTGTTTATATTTTGTTCACTTGACTTTTAAACCCCATCCTGCTAATATAAAATTATAAGAATGCATTAAAATGCATGAAACATATATGTTTATACTTATGAGACATGTCAGCCCTCTTTGTCTTTATTTATAGTTATAAGATCGTCATGCATGATGCATTCTAAAAAAAGTATTTTACATCCTATTTGCGAAAACACTTGACACTTACACAAATGTCATTTCACAGACGTTTTATATTATCAATACATGACTATAAAATACGGAACAACTATGCACGCACAATAAGTTTGTTTTTTAGGTTCCAATTTCTGTGCGAACTTGTCAATTGGTGTATTCAAATAATAAGAAATATCTCAAAATGCATCAGAATATTTCACTTTTATTTTATATTGATATGCCAAATTTTAACTTAGGTATGATTTACGTCACTTCCGGTTTGAGGTCACCTAACACTCTTACATATATGTGATACCAGACTTTAAATGCTATACTAAAGCATTTATCGACAAATTATTTAAAACTTTAGGACAATGACCTCATTAGAGTCTGTTCTACATTATCAAATATTCAAATTAGGGCTCAGAAATAAAGTAAAATAAATTTTAAGAAAACTGAATACAAGGAAGGGCGTAAATTGTGTTCTTAGAACATTTTTATTAGGTTTTAAGCGACCACTTGATACGCATACCTTAAGTCAACATGTTTTATGACTGATCTCGCGTATAAGACGCAGATAATGAAACATTGAATAGCAATAAAAGGGTTCTTGTTACAAATAAATTGAAATCATTTGGAAAAGCAATGTATTTGCTATGAAGCTTGACAAGATTAGGGGTCTAAATAAACTATGTTGTCAGCCTTTGTCTACTTTGTTTGAAAGGCTTGATAACTGGAACAAGAACATAAATCAAAATAAATATATACTAAGTATACTTATCGTGAACTTAAAATTCAACGCAATTTAGAATGGTATTCGGAAAAAAAGTGTAAATCAATGCTCTACTTGAAAGCTTAGTTGGCAGAATTAACTTGAGGGGAATTCCTAAAAATAGTGTTAACAAATGCTCTGCCGGAATGCATAGCCTGCAGAGCAATCAAATGGTGCATTCCTAAATATAGTGTAAAAATGCTGTAATGGAATGCTCAGCTGGCGTAGCAATCTAGCTGACATTCCTGTATAAAGTGTGTTTTTTTTATCTCACCTGTCACAAAGCGACATGGTGAGCTTTTGTGATCACTTTTTGTCCGGCGTCCGTCCGTCGACCGTCCGTCCGTCCGCTATTCTTGTCCGGGACATAACTTTGAAACCATAAGAGGTATCAACATGAAACTAGGTAGATAGATCTCATTGGGTAAGTGTGCAGTGCACAAGAACAGTAACTCTGCCTTGCCTAATTTTTGAATTAATGCCTTTTGTTTATTTTTACACTTTAAACATTGTCCGGGACATTAATCTAAAACTATAAGAGGTATTAACATGAATCTTTGCAGGCAGATAGATCTCATTGAGTAGGTGTGCAGTGCACAAGAACTGTGACTCTGCCTTGCCTTATTTTTGAATAATTGCCCTTTGTATATTTTTACACTTTGAATTTTGTCCGGGACATAACTCTAAAACTATAAGAGATATCAACATGAAACTTTATAGGTAAATATATCTCATTAGGTAGATGTGCAGTGCTAAAGAGCTATAACTCTGCCTTGTCTTATTTTGAAGTTATTGCCCTTTGTTTGTTTTAACTTGTTGACTTTTGTCCGGGGACACAACTCTAAAACTATAAGAGATATCATAGATAGATAGATAGATAGATAGATAGATAGATAGATAGATGGATAGATGGATAGATGGATAGATAGATAGATAGAAAGATAGAAAGATAGATAGATAGATAGATAGATAGATAGATAGATAGATAGATAGATAGATAGATAGATAGATAGATAGATAGATAGATAGATAGATAGATAGATAGATCTCACAGGATATAACTGCAATGCTCAAGAACCTCATCGCAGCCTTGTCTTATTTTGGAGTAATTGCCGTTTGTTCATTTTTACACTTTGAATTTTATCTGGGACATAACTCTGAAAGTATAAGAGATATCATCATGAAACTGTATAGGTAGATAGGTTCAGATCCTTTTATATTTTCTATTGCTCGGTTTACTTACGGTTTCTATGACGACAATAACTATGTTTAAGCTATGAATGTGACGTCATCATTTCATATCTAATATTATGATTTTATTCAACTTATCTCTTATGAAACAATTATGCTTTGTGTAAGATGTAAAAACGAAAAGATCTTCCTGTCAGATCTTGAATCTTAAGACGAGAAATATTTTTTTTCAGGTTTTTGTTAACAACATTTACATTTTTATTATCTTTGAAGAAACAATCATAGATAATTGTATTGATTCTAACTAGTTCAATTTTCGCAATAATTTCAATAATGCATAGTTTTCATTTTGAAAAATTCCTTTATTGAATGTTATTCGACGGTCCGATTGCAATGGAAACAAGAAAGAGCTGTCGGTAGGACAGCAACGCTCGACTATTCTTAGTGCTTGATAGTAAAAAAACTTTGATTAAAAGGTGATTTTTTTTCAGTAGAGAAAAGGGCATTTTTTATTCTTTAAATCCATATTACAGTTTATAGGCCTTGGAGAGAGTTCTATTATGCTCTCAAAGAAGAGTATAAAATTCCAAAGCCTTATGTCAATGGACTTTGAAAATATTTGAACTATTACAAAAACTTTAACGTAAATTCTAAGTCGAAAAAGGGGCATAATTATGTCAAAATGCTTGATAGAGTTACCTCCTCCTGTCTACAGGTTGGGGTCATGATGGTGAACAAGTGTGCAAAGTTTCAAAGCCATATGTCAATGAATTTTGAAAATATTTGAACTATTACAAAAACTTTAACATAAATTTTAAGTCAAAAAAGGGGCATAATTCTGTCAAAATGCTTGATAGAATTACCTCCTCCTGTCTACAGGTTGGGGTCATAATGGTGAAAAAGTGTGCACAGTTTTCAAGCCATATGTCAATGGACTTTGAAAATATTTGAACTATTACAAAAACTTTAACATAAGTGGTTACGCCAACGCCGACGCAGACGCCGACGCCGACGCTCGGGTGACTACAATAGCTCTACTTATTCTTATCGAATAGTCGAGCTAAAAACACACAATAAGCATTGCATGCTCCGTTCTTTTTCAAACTTGCGACAAACAAACAACGCTGTCGTATGCATGGGATACAACACATTTAAAAAGAACTGGATTCGAACTTGTGTCCGATTCAATGTGGAAAACGTATTGACGGATACATAGAAATCAGGAAATATTAAATTAATATAGTCCAGGTATTCCGATTGCCTTTGGAATTATTTGCCTGCTTTATGTTTAAGTGGTTATACAAGAGGTGTACAGAATACTTTCAAATTTCATGGATGTCAAAATAAACTGAGCCAGTGCGGAATATCTACATAACACAGACATAATACATTTCCCAATATTTTAACGGACATTGTAAATAATCAAGAAATTAAATTAATATCTTTAAAACATATATATTATCAGTAAGATAACATTTTAAGGTTGAAAGGTCTGCATGTTGTTTTATTTTAATCTATTCTATATCGTTTAATTAAAAAGGCACCACCTAACACTTAAGTTCAAGAACTTAAGAACATAACTGTTTTCCTTAAATGTTTTCTAAAACTATCGGAAAAAAGTGTTGATATTACTAGTGGTATATATTTTCATCATTTAACAACTGTAAAATAGCTGCTGCATTTAAGTCATCTATATTGTAAGACATAAATATAGGTGTTTTTCCTGAAATCTCTCCATTTAGAGCACAGTATATTTAATATATAATAAAATATTTTTCAAAAAATGATGAGTCTTAGTGTTAACACCTCTTTTTAGGTTTTCGCACTAGGCTTACATATAATGTCGATGGTACACTTGGAATTTAGTAAATAAAAAGATTCTAAATACTGTGACTTTTATAATTGGCTATTTGAAAATGCGTTACAGAAAAGTTCTATCAAAAATTGTTTTAAGAGCTTTGCCCCATACCCATGTCGCTTTTGCGACCCTGTATTTTGACATGACGTCATTTGTGTTATACAATTAGTTATTAAGATTTTTGACATGTTATATGGCCCTTTATAAACAGCTTTTTGGAATTATAACCCGAGCCGCTACAAGCGTGCAGTATTATAAAAATGTATTATAGCATAAAGATGCACAGAAAGTTAGCGTTATACTACAAGCGCGTCAATAAAAAAAGCGATTCGTTCTACCGTTAATAGCTCGTATTTTGAATATGTTATAAATAAAACATTATTATTAAGTAGCTTCTTTACTAAATTTATTGAACTTGTTGAATAAAATAACATTATGCTAGCCAGAGACTCGCATAATATAATTGTATTCAAGTCGTTAAATGAATTTAGTATTGAATCTGCACTCATTCAATATCCTCTATAAAAAAATATATTTTACAACAGTCTTGATAAACTGTAATTAACCAGGGTTTCAACGAAATCGGGTTATTGTAATGCCAAAGTCGGTGGGCGGGCGGGCAGGTGGGCGGGCGTCAACTTTTGGTTTCAGCTCAATAACTTGAGTTTGCTTTGGCCCATTGACACCAAACTTTGTGTATGTATAGCTTATATCAAGAGGTAGCTTGGGATTGCTACCCAGGTGTCTGTGATTAAGGTCAAGTTCACTGTTACTAAAAATAGAAATCCAGTTTTCGCTCA